TTTAATTACTTATATGGAAAGATTATTTTAATTATTTATTGAACAAGCAAACGTAATTATTTAATTCAAATGTTAGAAATTTGTATCAATTAAATTTTAATTGGTATTTTGATTAATAACATTTATTTATTTATCATTTAAATAATCATTTAATTATTACTTACATGTCCATTATTTATTTTTGTGAGAAATTAATTATTTATTCCAATGATTTTTCATTTCAATTGTTCTTTTAAATTATTTAATTTAATTATTTGATTATTTAAATTATTTATTGAAGAAGTAAACGTAAATATTTAATTATTTATTTAAAAGGTTAAATTTCTTTCAATTAATCTGTAATTAAATTTTACTTGCGTATTTTGATTATTAACATTTATTCATTATTTATATTTTTCTTTTATCATTTAAATAACAATTAAATAATAATTTAAAGATAAAAAAACAATAAAAACAGACTGGCCGTCTGTTAACAGACGACACAGACAGCTGTGCCGTCTTCCTCGCAGGGGGCCATCTTTGACACCCCTGGCGATCTCCGGCACCTAAACTTTAAAAAATTTTGGTTTTTACTATTTTTACATATTCTACAAAGATTTCTACCACTATTTTCAACAAAATAAGCTTTTAACATAGACTAATGAGAGAAAAATTATGCAAAACTTACTTTCTTCGCTTCTAATGGTGGCCGGTCAGTTTCCTCCTAAGAAAAACTCGTCGATTTTCTTATTTTCCTTCCTTTCTTTCTCTCATATCATCGGTTTCAGAGTTATAATATCACAGGGCAGTTTTGGGTTTTCATTCTTTTTAAAAATTTTTACAAATTTTTGAATTTTTTTTTTTTTAAACAATGGTCAACGACCATTTTGAAAAATTGTACGTTGCCCATTTCCTCTGCACTGCCTCGCCACCCACTCACGCCACCATAGGCGGCCACTTCTCCATCACGATCCGTAACTACCGCCAACCACCTCGATCGCCCAGCGAAACTAGAAGCAAGTTTAATCGCTCCACCATCTCTCAATTTAATTAGTACTTTAAGAATTTTTGAGTTTTCATCATTCATAATGATTTGATTTCTTGATTTCAAGATTTACAAAAAAAATGTAGACACAGATGTTAATTAAAATACCCATTTTGTTGCATCAAATACATTTTAAAGTTCAGCCACAGATTTGACCTCTGTTGTGTCTAAACATTTTTTGTGCTAGTAATTAATTCTTCATTTGGGAGTTTCGGAGTCTGAGTTGTGCTTAATTTCTGCTGATATTTATAAAACATGCATTGACACTTGATATGCAATTAAATTTGCGCCATGTCCATGTCTTGAAAACTTTTACAGTGACTTTTTTCCGTGTATTAAATTTGTGGTGCTTTGCAGATTCTTGTTTGTCTTTAAATTTAAAATATAAAGTTGACTCGTGGCTGCTCAAGGAATTAGAAATGGTGCTGGTACTGGCATTAGGTGATTTGCACATACCACATAGGGCGGCGGATCTGCCACCAAAGTTCAAGTCCATGCTTGTCCCAGGCAAGATCCAGCACGTAATCTGCACTGGAAACCTATGTGTCAAAGTGAGTTACCGTTTTACCTATTAAGTAATTTTAGGAATCATTGTGTTCACGATAATAGAGGTATGCTATTATTCAAGAAGATCTATGAATAAACAATTCAATATTTATCCAGTCATATGCATCTACTTTGCCTTGAAGCGAATGCCAAAACCTTCAGATTCCACATTAGTATTCCCTTAATTTAACTGGTTGGTTACTGATTTTAATCAATAAGCAAGAGAAAAAATAATATCAACACGTTTATTATATTTGCTTCCTTGTTTGAGAGGTTCTTCTATCATGTTTTACTTGTGCTATATATTGCGCCATCTGCATTGGAAACTTATATTTCAATATGAATTGATATACCTTTAATAGCTCTCTCTTGTTTTCTCATTAAAAAGGAAAGATATTTTATGGGTTTCTGTCGTAATCTATCTTTGGTTAGGATCGAATATTTCTGCAGATAGGATTTGTTTCAAGTCTTTATTTCTGTCTATTTAGCTGCTGCAACGTTCATACTGGCTTATTTTTCATTTCACGGTGTCTTTTACTTGCTTTTGCTCTCTACTTAAGTTGGTCTATATGAAATATTGTGAAAATGTGCATTAGTAATTATTGAATCTTTTAAAGTTTTTGTTTGTTGCCTGGCATTCCTATGTTGGGAACTGGAATCTAGAATTAGAATATTCTATTTATGAAAAATAGATCCTATTTTCAATGAAACAGCATAATTTATAATAATTTTGCATATTTATGCATACACTGAGATCGGTAGAAAAGATTTATATACATGCCTTGCTTGAAGTAGAAAATTTTGATTTCCAAAAGTCGATCATTGAGCTCTTTTTTAGTTTTTTTAACCCACAGGAATGGTACAAACCATATTTATGTGGTTTAAAGTTAAAACCATATTTACATGGTTATGTTGTCACCTGTGCCGGTGATTTATTTGAGAGGCAAATCTTATAAAATTCAATGGATTAATGAATTCGCATGGGAAATTTACCTTCAATTTTCAAGCATGAACCTTGATGCTGTTTTCTAAAATCTTTTCTAGCGAGCATCGAGATGTGAATGGGGGGGAAAAGGAAAAGAAAAGAAAAAGACTAAGAAACAAGAAAATATTGATCAGTAAGAAAACTCGGAATGGGTCAGAGGAACTTTAGATCTTCTGAAATAAGAAAAGACAGAGCTGCGTTGTTTTGAGAATTGAATGTTGATATATTTTTTTCTTTTATATATAAACATGAATGGCAGAGAAGCAATTATGGGCATTGTAATTTTTTCTTGACAATGCACTGCACCAACATTTCAGAGTTCCCTTTTTTGTTTCCTCCATCTTTTTTCTAGATATTACTTTTGAGTTGTGTTTAAACAACAAAACATACCCTTACAATGTTGTAGGATGTGTAAAAATCAAGCCCAAACAGACGAGATAGCTCTAAAAGTGTAAACTTTGATGCTGTTAATAAAGGCCTCACACACTTCTTGATGTCAGCCCAGGAAGTTTTAAAACAATGAACTAGTTTACGTCTTTCATTTATTTAATTTGAGAAGAAATCATTAGAAATGTCCACTTTCACATATCCATTTGCAAAAATGTCCACCATTGCAAATCCTTGCAAAAATGTCCATTTTGGAATAATTTAGACCAAAATACCCTGTTGACAATTTATGATTTCACACAAAGACAAAAATGGACATTTTTGCAATTAAAAATTTTTTTGACCAATAAAATTTTGATACATAACTTGCCCTATTTATTTCAAAAGTGCACACGTCAAATTACAATAAATGTTATTTTTCTCATAGACACAGAAATGTCAATAACTACATTTCAAATGTAGAGAAATGTCATGTTCGAAATGAAATGTCGTTCTAGATATCTAATATGTCGAGAACATTTAATATTGTAATTTGACATGTGTTCTTTTAAAATAGGAACGAGGTTCAAATATCGAGAACAACATTTAAAATATCGAGAATATCATTTTAATGTAGCTTCTCATGGAAGCTAATTCTTGAAATCTGCAAAAAATTGGAAAAAAAAATTAATTGCTTCATTTTTTCATTAAGGGCATAATAGACAGTTTAGTATTAAATTTAAAAAGTGGACATTTTTTAATTGACACCCATGAAATTGGACATTTTTGAAAATACCCCTTAATTTTATTGGACTAAAATTTGTATATCTTTGACATGTTGTTAATGAGCTAATACCATCTGATCGGCTTGAAATGTAGACTTGGTGGATTGTAAGGAGTTGAACAGTGGGATAACATGTCAATAAAACGACATATAGACATGGAATGTAGTATGGTAATGGATGTGTATTGTGAGTTTGACCATTTTGGCTCCTTCCAGAGTGCCAGTTAATAGACTTCAAAGTTTATAGGAACCAAAAAAGTTGTTTTTTGTAAAATGCACATGTCCTTTAGCAGCATTTTATGAGGTAAAATGATTATGGAGCCTAAATAACTCAATTCTCTCCCGTGAACTATTTGTGTCAATGGATTAGTCCGATCCAAAACTTGAGATAAGGGGAGATATCTAGTAACAATAAGAAGGAAAATGATTGAATGGAGGAGCTCCTGAACATTTGGCTATCTTAGATGTGTCAATATCAATGAGGTTGAAATGATGTCTATCAATCTGAGGAGGGCATTGAAGAAGTATGCACTTGTGTTTTGTTGACTCTGAGCTATAAAAAAGTTTAGAGATATATTTGATGTCGTTATGCAAACAAAATTAGTAGCTGTCTTAATGTTTAATGGTTATGTAAGTTTTATAGAATTTTATTGGTACTCGATACAAAGGAAGTGTGAACTTGATTTTATGCTAGGATGTGGGTTCCCAACTTGATCTTTCAAAGTGAAGATCTTGCAAAAAACAGAAAAGAAAAGAAAAACTGAATGACCCTTGCTAGATGAAGGGTTTTATCTGATCTGAGATGACGAAATTCTGTAAATGATAATGCTGGAAGATATTTGGGATAGCATGGAAGTTCAGACCAAAGGATTGTTGCAGGAACACCTTTGAAGTTCTTCTCTTTTCTTTTCTGCTTCTTTTGGTGAGACCTGGGCCTTCTAAGCAAAAACATATCTTCCTTTTCATACTTAGAACTTTGTTTTTATTCATGAAGTCCATGAACATATGTCTGACCGCCGAAGGAATTGTGAGGATGTGAGTCCATGTTCCTTGTAAAACCATTTAAAAATATACCTCGGGGTTTGCAAGTTCTAATTTATTGTGCTTAGTATCCAGGGGTTTACAGAATTTTGATTACCAGTTAATTACCATCACAGAAGATCGTTGTGAATTGTGAGGATGGCTGGATCCCTTTTTTGTCGAGTGTACACACTTCACTAGCTTGACATATAACCTTGATATAGGGAGTTGATCATCAAAATTTCGCAACCAAGTCAAGTGTGAAAATACAACTTCTCATTATTTACCATGTGGGAGTTCTTCCTTGCTGGACAGGGTTGCAGGAACTGATAAATATCAATTGTTTCCCACTTTTTGGGCTTAATATCTGATGTAAATATTAGTTCTTTAAAGGCTATTTACTAGGTTTTTTTTCCTACTTAACCATAACTAAGTTCGCCTTTCTTCTCAGATATGATTTTGCACGTACTTATATTTTAGTACTTTACTGTATGAAGACTTATCATATTAAATATTCCTATGCTTCGATTGAGTTGGCATGATCATTTGGATGAAAGTTGAAAATGTATGTGAAGTGCGGCGAGATTGGCCTAAACTGGTGCTATTACATTTTTATAGAAGAAAAGCTACAATATAGGGAAGTAGATTTTTTTTTTTTTTTTTCCTGGAGAAAAGCTACAATATAGGGAAGTAGATTTATTTATTTTTTTTACCTGGAGAGGTCCAAAATGGTGAGGAAGACAGATAATTTGAAAGTTTCATGGCACCTTGTATAGAAACTTGAAGTTCATTTGTCTTCTGATCTTCTCTATTCAACGTGTTTGACTAAATGCTTTTGGCATTACGTGTTACAATCAGTCTTTAGTTGGATGTTTATTTGTTTAAAGCTTTAGTAAATAATATTCTATATAAATTTTTGATTCAATGGCATTTTCACTGAGCAGGAAAAACCGAACATGCTAAGTATGGAATGACTTAAACAATGTGATTATATTTGCAGGAGGTGCATGACTACTTGAAGACTGTTTGTTCAGACTTGCATATTGCTCTAGGTGAATATGATGAAGAGACACGTTACCCGGAAACAAAAACACTTACTATTGGTCAGTTTAAGCTTGGAGTGGGTCATGGTCATCAGGTGTGATTTCATTTCATTTCCTGTGATGTTTTATCCTATTTTGAGTTGAGGGTTGTTATTTGTTTTTCCTGATCATCAGGCATGTATTGTAGTTGGTTTTTTTTGGCCTCTTATTTCTAACCAGGCCTTCATTGTACTGCTTATCGAGTAGTGGCTGAACAAGTGACAGTACATAGTACATCTTTTCGAATTATACAGTTTAGAAGCTTCATTCTGCCTCCTTACCTTCACGCGCTCGTGGATCAAAACATCTGGTGGAATGATTGAGAAATCTGGTAAAATAGTCATATACTGATTCTGTATTGTTTTTGCTTTTCTGAAGGTTATTCCATGGGGGGACTTGGATTCACTGGCCATGCTCCAGAGGCAGCTAGATGTGGACATTCTTGTCACTGGCCATACCCATCAGTTTACAGCATACAAACACGAGGCTGGAGTCGTCATAAATCCAGGGTCGGCAACAGGGTCCTACAGTAGTATCAATTATGATGTCAATCCGAGCTTTGTTCTCATGGACATTGATGGGCTGCGGGTTGTGGTATACGTATATGAACTCATTGATGGAGAGGTCAAGGTTGACAAAATTGATTTTAAGAAGACGACGGCATCAAGCACTTGACCTACTGATGTGAAAGGTGCTCGTGAATGCATTCATCAGAGAGTATCAGCAGTGGATGAATATGCATATGCATTCAGATCCTGGTTTCACATATTTTTATTTTTTCGATTTTCATTTCCTTTCTTGGTGGCGCTTATACGACTGTTTGCCTAAGGCCATTTTCTCATGGATTTGGTTTAATTGGTAGGGATCTTAGATTTGGTTGTCTTTCTTCCCCCCCCCCCACAAAAGACTTTTCTTTGGTTGCTTTATAATTCCGTGCACAACTTATCAATTAGTTGACTTCTAATTTGAAATTTATAATGAACATTTATGACGAAGAGAAATGTCCAATCCGTTATGATGAGTTGTTTGACATGATTAGTTGTGTGTTTGACCTCAGTTATGCGAAGAAAATCGATTTTTATTTTATTATTATTATTATTATTATTATTATTATTATTATTATTATTATTTTTATTTTTATTTTTATTTTTATTTTATTTTTTATTTTTATTTTGGGGCAAGCAAAGGAGGGGTCCTAAATAAATAACATAAACTTGGGTGACAGACATCAAATATCATCACTCATATTTTGGTCAATAGATCGTTTTGGCCCTTACCTATGATGCAAGGAAAAAAGTGGAAACTACAGAAATTCAGATCTTTAAATATCATAGTTCAAAATTCAGGTACAATGTTTGATTGTTCACAAATCAGGTATTAATAGATTTAAATCCCTCAATTCACATTTCAAACCCTAATTGAAATTTCACCCCTCCCATTACAAGACACTTTCCCATCCCCTCTCATTCTATGCTCGACGTCGGCATGAAGAATAAACACCGCAACCAGTGACGAAAGAAAGGGCGATGGCATGGGGTGGTGTCGGCATCGACATAGGAGGCGACATTGCTGGGAACGCAGCGTTGCGACATTAAACTGTTCTTCTCTTTCCGATCTGAAGGCAATGGTTTCCGAACTGTTCTTTTCTCTTTCCGAACGATTCTTTTCTCTTTCTGGCATAGGGGAGGCATTTGATCTGTATTTATCTCTCTCTGTTTGATTTGCAGTTTTCTAGTTTTTCGATTGAAGGTACTGGTTACTGGTGAGATGTTTTATGGTAGTGGTGGTGGTCGACGATGGTAATGTGGTGGTGCTTGTAGTGTTTTGACATGATGATGTGGTGGCTTCTGTGTGCCCGACGGTGATGTGGTGGCATTTGTTGTGTTTGACACGGTGATAGTTTGGTTCAGGCGACAATGGTGTGGTTGGTGATTTTTTATTTTTTATTTTTTTTGTGTGTTTGGTCGTGGTGGTTTCTAGTGGTGGTGGAGGTGGATATGGTGGCGGCGATTTTTGTTAGTGGTGCTGTCATGGGGGTATTGGCAGCGGTGGCGACGGTATAAGAGTGGTTGCAAGTGGCAGGGGTAGCGTTGGAGTTGGTGGTGCCCGATAATTTGATGTGTGGCCAATTTTTTGATTATCAGTGACCAATTATTTAACTATGACTTTAAAATTCGATCATCTGTGATCAACAAATTTAAAAATATGTGATCGATATATAAACTGTGACTTGTAATTTTTTCATCTGTGACCAATAAAATAATATGTGACCTACAAAAATTTTGATTTGTGACCTCAAAAAAATCTGTGATCAACTGATTTGATGATATACGATCAGTAAATAAATTTGTGACCTATAAGTATAAATTTGTGATCATTAATTATGTAAATGTGACTTTATTATCTTTATTTAATAAATATTTTTAATTAATTAAATATAATCCTGAATTTTGAAATTTCAAACTATTTATCTGATTTTTAAAATGGTGTAAACAATACACCTGGATTATGAATTTTTCCCAGGAAAAAAATTGCGTTTAGAACAACGGCTTGGCCCATGTTTGGTTTGGATTAAAATATCAAGTTAAAATCAACAATTAACTTTAATTACATATTTTATGGGATTCACAACTTTTTTGCAACGCATTTTATCAACTTTTATCAAAATTTACTAAAAATTTGATTTTAATCTCTACAATCTAAATTGTGACATGCAAATTTTAATTTAAACTATTTCATTTCAAAGTATTAGATGTTGATAAAAATCTGATTATTATCAAGACAAACAAGGATTAAGTAATTAAGGGCCTATCTGGGAGAGCTTTTCTCCCAATTTGAGCAATTAATTGACTGTTACTCACTACATAATGGGTTCCAGTTTGGTTGCGAAATTTGATGTTGTTATAAATGAAATACCGAAAATACCCGTCTTGCATGCCAAATGAATTTAATTTTAAGGGCAAAGAGGTCATTCTGACATAAAATGTCCAAAATTGCGGCTACAATGTCTGAAATTCTGTAGCATCCGTATTGTCTCGATGAAAAGCAACGGTCCAAATTTTAATTATCAGGGTTGAAATTGCAATTTTAAGTGTGCCTAGACAGGGGTTAAAACTTAAAACCAGATTACATAACTCCTAATGGTAACAAACAAACTTCTTTATTACTTATTTGACCAAAACAGTATGAAAAAACGGCTAGCAATTTAAAATTTGAAATTCGAAAGCAAGCGCATGGACCCAAATCCTAATAGCCGTTCCATTTGGAATGTTTTTTTTCCCGCTCGCCCTTTTCTCTTCTTCTATAAATATAGAAATCCTCTCATTTTCTCTCTCCGTCTTCTCATTCATCTCTGAAAACTTCTCATTCATCTCTGAAAACTATGGATGATTCTGTCGCCAAAGTTCAATCTTCAGCTGCTTCTGGTAAACCTTTATTAGCACAGGAAAAATTGATAGCACTAAATTTGCGTGTTATACTATTTAGTTTTATATTCAATTGATAGGGGAATTTTACGCTGTGAATGCAGGCAGATCAGCTACAAGGCTTCTGCGGTATCCACTCCGATCGGCCACCAAATCCAAGGAGGAGAAGCCACCACTCGTTGATTCCTCAAACTCATCTGCCCATGAGAGGTTTTTCTCTCTCTTTATATGTTATTGATTTGTATTTTTTATGTTATATATTTGTATTTTAATTTAGCTTTTAATTCTTCTGTAATTCTCCACTGATATTATAAATTCAGGTTTTCTTTTGATTGTTTATTCCGGGTGCATCTGGTAGATGGATTGAAGATAGTAAAGATATCTTACAGTTACTTTCAGTTAGAACAATTTTTTTTTTTTTTTGGGGTCATTAACGATTTAATTATGGCCACAGAATTAAGAATTAGATCACCCCCACGATTCCACGAACTGAAGAATGATTTTTTTTTTACCACTTTCTTTTAAATTATTTTTCCTCTGAAGTAATTACCCCCTTTAAGGAAATATTCGGTCAAACTGCAATGGATATGGACAGCTATGAAAAAATTTTCATACAATTTCTACATGAATTGATATTTTTGTTCATTGCAATTGTTGTTAAGGTGCTTAAATTAGTCATGGATACTTCACCTGTGAAGATATATGTATAGCCAATTTATTATTTTCAGTATAAATGCCTTTACTAGAACTGCAAAAGCTGCAAGACTGATGTAAATTAAATTTTTTAAAGTTTGCTGCTATTTCTTATTCCATAAGATTGCAGATGGTAGTCTATGATATAGTGTAAGCTCCACCTAGAAAATCAGAGGGCATGTGAAAAATGATGCAGAGATATATAACATTTTCATTACAAAATATGCAAACAGCTGCAATGCAATTTATGCGCGCTGAAAAGGCACATATGCTACTCTATTTTCTGATCTTCATTTCCATGAAACTATCGCTTACTATTATTTTTGGTGTATATATATATATAGGGGAAAGCTTGCATCAAGTGTGAGTAAAAGTGTTGGTGTTCTTGATCTGTCTGACAAGAAGGCGGCTGCCAAGCCACCAAGAAGGCTGTCTGTTCCTTCCAAGCCGACTGCCAGCCCTGCTCCAAGAACTATTGGAAATATCACTCCAATTTCTGAGACGAGGGCAAAGAGATCTGCTGGAAAACACGACAAAAGTAGTGATACACCAGTCTCTGATGTTTCGAAATCATCAAGTCGAAAGAAATTCAGTGTTCTATCATCAGCCTCTTATTGGCTGTCTCAGATTAAGCTCTCTGAATCTGCTGCTAAGCATTCGATTTCACTAGGTTTCTTTAAACTTGCTTTAGAGGCTGGATGTGAGGTATTGTTAAAAGGAAATTGATAAATGTGTAATTGAAATTCTTTTGTTCTTAAATTCACACACAAACTTTAGATTTTTCTATGGTGACACTGACCTCTTGGTATATGCATTATCTATTCCTACTTTTTCTCAGCCCGTGCAGCGAATGAGGGAAGAGCTAAAATCATATGTTCACTGCCATAACCTTTGTGAACTTGGAGAACCTTTGAAAGAACTATTTGACAGCTATGAAATTTCAGAGAAATTTGATCAGTCAAATGTCTCTGATACCGGTTCTCAAATGCCTGGAGAAGGAAATAACTCATCTGATGGAGATGTCAGCTCTTCTTCTGTAACAGATTCTGAGAAGCCGAAGCCAAAGCTCAAGGCACTGGACATTGATGCTGATGTAGATTGCCAAATTAAAAAACCAAACAAGGAAACGTCTCAAATGAATGACTCTGTAAAGAGGAGCAGAAGATCAGTCCACAAGAATGTGACAAGTGCAAAGTCTCCTTCAGAAGTTCAGAATCGCAGCACTCAAAAGAAACCCCAAAAACCATTAAAGCAAGATGTTGCTAAGAAGGGGAAGGTGATGAAACAGGGAAAGAAGTCTGCTCCTGGAGAAGGTAATTGCACCAATTCGTTTACATAATAATTTATTTCTTTAAAATTCTTGTTTAGTAGTCCTATTAACTGTTTCTTTTACTGTTGCAGGTCCCCTTAGCACTCCACCAGAGGAATCACTTCAAGAAAACAAAGAGAACATGGTAAAGATTCTGCTATATACAAGAAACTTGATTAATTTTGTGATTCCTAATAATTTCTAATTTTGAATATTTTACTGTAGGCTGCTTCTCAGATGGAAGAGATCGAATCGACTGATGTCTAAATTACATCTTACCCTAAGCAATGCTTAAAGTTTACTAAGTATTATTTGGTTTGGCCTTCATGGTATTAGTTGGAGCCTCTTCATTTATATACATTACAGAAAAAGGTTTAATGTGTGAAGTTTGTAATTTTCTTGTCTATCTGTTTTGGAAAGTGAATTACTTCTATCAATCAATACACAAATTATTTGTTTCTTTAATTGTATTTAGTTAAAAGAAAGTTGAGAAATTTACAGATATTATATTTTTGAATTCAAATCCACCTCCTAAAATACCTTAACTACACTGATCATCTCAATACATTTAATCAACTATTGCAACGAAATTTATGAGTCACAAAAGATAGAGAAATGGTAATATAAATTCCAAGAGCCAAGTGCATTACAATTCCAAGGAAAATCAATGCATATCATTCCAATTACATTACAAGACACAACTCAACATCATAGTACTAGAAGCTATAACAGGACTTGAATTGTGTCACAATTGAAAAAGTTTGCTCAATTGGTACATTTTACTTAAAAGTAGGTTTCCAAAGTCTTGCTTTGATTCGTCGACTGTTTCTATGCATGGGTCAATCAGCTGTCCAGCTCTGCTCCACAATTTCCCTTACCTTGCGATTATAATCTCGCTTGTTCTCACTGAACATCCGAGCAGCTTCAGAATTTGCAGGGGAATTAGGGTTTGGATCACATAACAAAGACTGCACAATAATAATGAAAATCACGCAATTCATTAGATACAATCTGTTCTTATAAATTTAAAATGGAGAAAGATACCAGTAATCGTAACAGATAATGGTTATGCAACTTATAAGAAATCTGTTACTCTATTTCTGTGTGTTAGGAACACATCCTACCTTTCATTAATTAAGCATTTTTCTCTTCAAATGGCAGATAATACATGCCAGTGAGAAATTTAATCATGGCTCTTGCATTTCACACACTGAAACCTTGGACACTGGTTGCCATATAAAGTCGAGCCAAAATCTAGCATTCAGTATTGCGACCACTGTGTAATATTTTCTAGAAACTTAAAAGTTTCAGTAATTTGTTCTGGAAATTCGCTGAAGTCTAGAAACATGACATTTATGAAATGTTGCCTAACTATTTGTATAGATTGCAACGTGAAAGCGTTGAAGTAATATAATGAGTCATAAGGAGACCCCAGAACTTTCAGAGAAAAAGTAACGAAAATTTTCTGTTGACAAAGGAAAATATATTAGAATCAGTCATCTAACCTCTGGTTTATATCTTTGAACAGTGGTTAATTTTTCCCTCAACAATACAACATCAAATGATGGATACTTTGTACGAGAAAACAAAAGAGAGATATTTCGTATCTCCTACTAAATCACTAAGTACAGTAAAGGTGTAGATGAATTTCTTCCTTCGATGTCTATATTCCATTGAGTAATGCTATTCATAGTGAAGACTGTCAGTAGTCGCCCTATGTGGTATACACTTAGCAATTTGGTATTTGATACATAAATATAGTAGTTATTTTTTGAATTATACATCAAATGCAAAACTGCCAAGTATAAGCCACATAGGGTGACTGCCGGTAGTCTTCACTGCAAATAGCATTATACATATTCCATTACCATTGAAATTTTAAGGTGCAAATACACACCGCTTCACACAAAGGTAATTCAGTTTCGTGAGCTACACTTTATGCAAATAATTTGCAAGAAAATAATCCAATTTGTATCAAGGAAACTTGTTCCATATGCATGGCTGGGTGCAGGAGAAAAATTCTTGATCAAATAAAAGATGGCTGAAGATGCCCCGGCTCCCTTTAGTGGACTTTGTTAAATTGATTTATTCAAACACATCTCCTCACTCTTATCTTATTTTGTACATGGAGACAAATCCACATTCAGTTTCTAGACACATCAAGAGGCAAAATGGCAGTGAGAGATAAATACACATTTTCAGCTCTATTCAATACAATTTTGCAGAGCTAAACTGGGGGAAAGCACAAAGAAAACCTACTCTACTAAAGACCAGCGTGTGTAGTAGCAAGATTTGCCACAGTACATGGACGATATAATAATAGGATAAATTATGAACAAACATTGGGATATACAACAGAAAGAATTTGCCATTAAATTGTGATAGTGGTGAAATAGTAACTGCAAATCAGAAACACAAGGGGTAATTCCATATCATTGACGAATTCAATAACATTCTAGGGTCTTATTAAACAAAATAACACAAAATTTTGAAAATTTTTATCATTGATGTATTGAAATTTGATTAGGTATTAAGTTCAAGAATATCTGCCTTCGAATGTTCAGGACATATAATTGTACGAAGCCAGTAAGTTACCTTTTTTGCTTGGTTTAAAGGATATTATTAAGGGAGACTAGAAAGAAAGAAATCTAATTGCCAAGGTTCCTCAACATTTGGGGGAAAAAAGATATAAGAATTGAGGACATCCAGTCGTTTTTATTTATTTCTAGTTGGACCTTATTTCATTTTATGGACTTTATTGTTTTGGATTCTTATTAGGCTTATATTGGCCCAAGCCCAATCTAGTTAGGATTTAGGTTTTTAATATTTAAACTACTTTGCATTGTAATTTATTTTCAGTTGATGATTGAATAAGGATATTTGGTGGCTTGTGGAGAAATTTCCCTCTTCCCCATTCTTCTTCTTCTTCTGTTTTCTTCTTCTATCATCCTTTCCCCTTATTTATTTTTCATGTTCATTGATTTCTTTTTTTCTATTAATTTTCCTACGGTTGTGCTACCTGCACAGGGTCTGTAGCACAGATCCTGTACAGGTACACACACATGGGATGGACCCCACACATGGGGTCCACCTCCCATGTGAGATGCCCTGTACATGTCCTATGCAACAGGGCTTGTAGAGAAGGCATTTCCAATTTTCCTATTGGTGCTGCATCAAATCTGGTATCAGAGTTAAAATTTGGGTAATTTTTCATCTACAATCCAAAACTTTCTTTCTATCCTCTTCCCCCCAAAAACTTGTGGAACAGCACAAACAAAATATTTGTTGTGAGGCAGTAGTTTTCTTGTTCAATTTTCTTTCTAGTTGATTAGGGAAAAAAATAATAATTTGTTACTGTTCACACCCGCAGTTTTTTTTTTAGATTTTTCAGCAATTTCACAAAAAATAAAAAATATCTACTGTTCATGGGTACTGTTCACACCCGGAATTTTATTTTTTTATTTTTTTCTGCAGTTTCCCAAAAAAATAATAATAATAATAAATAAATAAATAATCAGTTTTAGAGTTTTAAGCATTTGCTGCTGCTAAGTGTGCTGTTTCATAAATTTCATCTCTAACAATTAAACCTTACTTACATTCAGCCTACATACAAGGTCAACCCACCTTACGTTAACTCAACCCTATAATAATCCATATACCCACATATAATTATTATCCGCAAGCCCATTCCTTTTATCAAGACATTTAGGCCATATACTAGTGGCCTAAATTACTCCTAATCCTAGTTAAAACTCACTCTCACTTTATCCAATTCAAACCCACAACCCATTTCTTCTCAGTCACCATGGCCACCATAACCCACACTCACCAGACAAATCGTTCCACCTACACACAACCCAGACGCAGTACACCCCTCACTTCCACACTCAGGATAGAAGTCACAATCGTCTCCATCGCCACTTGCCGCCGCCAACACCACCACAATAGATTCTACATACACCACCAACAGAACTAGAACAGCAATCACTCATATTCACAAGAAACCACCGAAGCGAAGGAAAGGACGCAATTATATCCAGAGCCCACGTGTCAGCAGTTCGAGCAACTAAACGACAGGGAGTCCTTGACCTTTATTTATTGTTGGTTTACACTACTTCATTTTAAGATCGCATCATTTACATTGCTTGTGTTGCTGTTATTTGATAATTGTAGCCTTAAAAAATTCACTTGATCAAAATTTGTGAGTTCACATCCATTGTTCTCCGATTACCCCCACGTGATTAGACCTTTCGAATGGTCATTTGTATCATTGCTTTCTATTTTATATGCATCAGTATTATTAGTTTGCCACGTTTGGCCCTACGTAATCCCATCTTTTTTCAGTAACTTAAAAATAAAATAAATTGCTATTTTACTATTGGTACCCGTTGTTTATTGATCTCAGTAGTGCATTTCACTTAGCTTGTATTACTTTGTATGCATTTGCGTAGTGATCGCGTTACTACCTCTAGTTCTAGTACCCTTGCCATGGATCCGTCCCAAATTGAGGCCCTCACCCCACAGTTAGCACAATTACAAAATCAATTAACTGCTGTCCAAACTGAGGTAGCTGCTACTCGTGAGGAGAATAGAGCCCTAGCCGCTAAGTATGATGCCTCCCGGGTAGGTATAGACGGAGTCTTGAGTCAGGATCGTCACCCTGTTGCCTACTTCAATGAGAAGTTAAATGAGGCTAAACAATGGTACTCAACTTATGATAAGGAACTGTATGCAGTGGTCCAGGCTTTGCGCTATTGGCGCCACTATTTGTTGCCCCAGGAGTTTGTCCTTTATTCGAACCACGAGGCCCTCCGTTACCTCAACTTCCAGAAAAGATTAAGCTCTAGGCATGATCGTTGGATTGAATATTTGCAGACCTATTCATTTGTTTTAAAACACAATAAGGACGTGGAGAACCAAGCAGCTGATACATTAAGTCGTCGTATTTCCCTTTTGTCGATCATGAGTGTCAAGGTCATTAGTTTTGAAAGCTTAAAGAGGATTACGAGGCATGTCCCGATTTTAAAAATATCTTTCTTGATTTGCAAGGGGGACAATCAAACACCACAGATGGCTTCTGACTTGAGGAGGGTTATCTCTTTAGAGCCAATTAATTGTGCATCCCTCGAACTTCAGTGAGAGATTACATAGTATGGGAAATTCATGTAGGAGGTTTAATCGGTTACTTTGGGCATGATAAAACCGTAGAAAAAGTTGAACGCCAATTCTATTGGCCTAGTTTGAAGAAAAATGTAGCTAAGATTGTTAGTACATGTAACACTTGTCAATTGGCCAAATTGAAGAGGCAAAACACAGGCCTATACACTCCTCTTCCCGTCCCTAATTGTCCTTGGCAAGATGTTAGTATGGATTTTGTATTACGACTTCCACGCACCCCAAAGAAACATGATTCTATTTTCGTGGTTGTCGTTCGTTTTTCAAAAATGGCTCATTTTGTCCCCTATAGCAAGACTTCAGATGCGTTCAAAGTTGTCATGTTATTCTTTAATGAGATTGTTAAATTGTATGGGCTTCCTAAAACCATTTTTGGAGGACTTTGTGGCAAAAGATGGGTACCAAATTGAAATTTTCTACTGCCTACCCCCTCAAACTGACAGTCAAATTGTAGTTAATCGAAGTCTTGGTAACATATTACGTTGTCTGGTCCGAGAAAATCTTCGAAATTAGGATTTGATCCTTCCTATAGCTCAAATTGCTTATAACAGTTCCATGAATCGTTCATTGGGTATGAGTCCATTTGAAGCTGTTCACAGGTATAAGCGTAGGAAGCCGTTAGATCTCATTCCTATGTCCTAGATCTCATTCCTATGTCCCCACAGGTTAGAGTGTCAGTGTCAGCCGAAACATTTGCACAACATCTCCGTGATTTGCATATTGAGATCAATAAATAACTTGAAGCCAACAATGCAAAATATCAACTCCAAACTGATTTATATAAACGACATGTTGAGTTTAACATTACGGATTACGTTATGGTCCGCATTAGGCCAAAGCGACGTCTACATGGACCCGTCTCCAAATTACAAGCCCGTAGTGCTGGTCCTTTTAAAATTTTAAAGCAAGTTGGTTCAAATGCATATGTTGTTGACATTCCACCCCACCTTGGTTACCACTCTACTTTCAATGTTGAGGACTTAGTTGCTTATAAAGGCCATTTTATTCCCTCAGATGATCCTCTGTTACCCTCTTTTGTGGACCTTGACCCTAATTTTTTGGCCTTTTCTAACCCACTACCACCTCTTACAGCACATAAAGATAACATTGATGCTATTTTAGATGAAAAAACTGTGTTAACTAATGATGGAGTTGTTCGTTGGGTTGGTCGACCAAATTCTGACTGTACATGGATCTCCAGAGAGACACAACAATTGGATCCAAATTTATTGGAACTTTATCGGAGTCAGCAGGATCTTCCTTCGTCCAAATCGCCTCCCGTCCACCTAAGGGGAGTTGGTGAGGACACCAGATTTAGACATCCACTGACACATTTCTACAGACACCGGAAGAAGCTTGCCCCACTACTCAGCTTATGGTTGAGAGATTGACTGCAACCTATATTGACATATCCACTCGACAGGGTCGAGTTTTCTTCCACCCCGGGAGAGTTGATGAGGACATCCAGTCAATTTTGTTTATTTCTAGTTTTTATTTATTTCTAGTTGGACCTTATTTCATTTTGTGAACTTTATTGTTTTGGATTCTTATTAGGCTTATATTGGCCCAAACCCAATCTAGTTAGGGTTTAGATTTTTAATATTTAAACTACTTTGCATTGTAATTTATTTTCAGTTGATAATTGAATAAAGATATTTGGTGGCTTGTGGCGAAGTTTCCCTCTTCCCCATTCTTCTTTTTCCCCTGTTTTCTTCTTCTATCATCCTTTTCCCTGATTTCTTCTTTATGTTCATTGATTTTCTCTTCCTCTATTAATTTTCCTATTGGTGTTGCATCACAGTGTTTGTCATCCCCTGAGTCCATCTAATAAACCCAAATCCCTCGGACTTATATAGGCCACACCAATTATAGTAGGTTTACTAATTCTTGAAGAATATGGAAAGAATCTATAAAAATAATTTTACTAACAATAGAGTTTTGCATCCTCGATGGGTCAACCAACAGTATATGCATGCATGAAAACTGGATATTCCAACTAAAATGATTGAATTACAGATGGCCAGATTAAGTAAAAATTAACAAGAAAAATTGTAGATGAGCCTCTCCACTGCAGATTTCAAGACAACGTGTAGCTAAGACTCGCATCATCTAATGTCTCTTAGGATTCTGAAGGCATGTGATATTTTCCACAGTATAAGGAAAAGATCAAGTAGCACCCTTGCCCTCAGGTTGATAACGATATCAAGAATAAAGTTGTTGGTCAAACATAATTTTGCTTAAATATTAGCGGATTTATGAATTTATATTACAATGCGGAATGGATGTTTTTGAGTCACACATAAAAATCTTAAATATTGTGATATTCTGACAATCCAAGTATGAAATGAAAAAGTGCCCCTGTTTTTCCCTAGATAAACATACCCCGAAGAAATCTATTTTAACTAACGAAGAAGGTGAGACTAGAGTGTCTATGTAAAAGCACCCACAAGGTTTATCACACATTAATTTAATGTAACCAGCACTTATTGACTGCACTAAAGCAAATGCAACACCTAAGCAATAACACATTCTTGAAACAACATACTTGACCTTTGATCATTAAATCATATGAACTTTCACTACCACTTATAATGGTTAAAAAGATAAACACCATAACATACACTCCATCTGCATTACTAATCAATCAAAAAAATCCCATCTTCACAGAGGGTAACTAATTTATCATCTTATTTGGCAATGCAGATCCCTTGAAGCAGTAGCATCACACGCTAAAGTTAACCAAAGCAATGTACCTGGACAGAAGTAAGAATAGCCGCAACATCATATATTGGACTCCACTGATTTTGTAGGATATCCAAACATATACTTCCATCTGCATAAACTGATCATAAAAGATAAAATTCCAAGTCAAAGATCACATTATGCTACACATATCCTTCTGTACGTGCAACTCTTCGGAAATTGGAAGGTAAATAAGCCACATTACGCTATGGTTTACTTTAATACTTTAAACTGAATTTATTCACAGAAAGTTCCAGAATATAGATCTTACTATTGGGATGAAACATGCGTGAAACAAATCGCACTGTTGGAGGCTTGTTTGGGTAGTCTTCAGTGAATTGAAGTGTTAACTTGAACGTACCTGACACACTCAAAGAACATTTTATAACATTCGAGTCACAACAATATTATAAAATGAAAAAATAAAAAATTGCTGCTCAACAAAGCAAACATCAGACTTCAAAAGATTAAGATTGTCCTATTGTTGCTGTAAATACTTTCCAATTCTTTTATGTTGAATATGATTTGCAACCTGGCGTAAACATGATAAGAGCAAGAGTATATGAACTTGTATCCATTTAAAGCTAAATAGTTTTTCATATTCGTTATTACCCTCTACGAACAGCTTGGTACCAAAATTACAATCAGATCCTAAGCTTTACATCTCTTTTTTTTTCCAAATCTTTACATTTTTTTTTTTTTTTTTTTTTTTTTTTTTTGGGAGAGTGGAGTAGAAGTTGAATTGCAAAATGGTCATTAGAATATTGTTTCTCATTCAGAATTTTTCATCTTTCACAACATCATGTATCATTCACATTGTGTAAATATGAGATGAATCATGAGATGAAAATCTCACACGATTTTGATACAATTATTCTTTTACTTGTATAATGACATTAAGGAATGTCAGTTCAATCAAAGAAAATTACGAGGAAGGTTGAATGATTCGAATCAAGGACTTAATCTCAAAAATTGATAAAAGGTTAAATGACCAGGAAAGCAAGTTGATCTAGTTTTTCCCTACCCTAGCCTTTCAATGCCTCTTATAGTAATGTCATTAATCTTAACCGAAGTTCAGATACTCTTTTCGACATTTCTTGATCAAGCTGAGATACTAGTTGAAAAACATGAACATTTATACAAGTATATCCAACCAGTTCTGCAATCATGCATTTATTATATATATATAATTTATTTATTTCAGAAATCACATACAGAGACTAGAACTGTTTGGTAAAGCTCTCTACTTTATATATTAGGACTGGAGCTACAAATTCCAAAAACCATCACGACATTATGCACTTTCTAACTAATGCAAGTCAAGTTTTCACCATGTGTCATTAGTGAAGTCCTATCCTCCAAAAAATTACTCCAACCTAAAGTAGAAGGCATTCTCTATACTCAAATTAAAAACCAAACAGTCTACCCCATGCAGCATAATCACCATGCTTACACAATATAAAGATAGGATTGAACCATCTAAATTAATGCAAAGCAGCTCAAAACCATTTTCCTTTTCTTTGTAATATGTAATGACATTGTAATACTTCATTTGAGTGGTCAAAAAAAGCCAGGAGACGTTTAACCCATCAATGCATTGACAATGATTTGTGAATAAAAATTATATGCCCTTGTAGTATGAACAACTCCACAGTGGGTTTCACATTGAGTTAAAGCATACGACAAAAAATATTTTCCTTATTAAGCATCACATTCTGTGTCTTCTCGTGAAAATTAGGATTCTAAAATTTAGGACCAAAGAATTCATTCAAGGGAATGAGTTAAGTCTTCCAAATGATAGTGGCATCATACTAGTTTATGTTGCATGAGGACTATCAATCCAGTAAATTGGGTAAGAAAATGATTGAGAAGCATGTTTCAAAAATAAACATACGACATGTAATAATTACTGTGAAGCTAAACAAACAAAATTACAAAAGATGTAAACAAAATATACAAGAAATGGTAAATTTCTATACAAAATTCTGGCAGGAGAAGGACTCACCTCCATCCCAAGGTGTATCATCAGGACTGAAAACGCACATCAAAAAAGGAAAGGAAACACATAACATGTTATCCACCGATACTTGAGAAATCACAATACAAAGTAAATAGAAAAATAAGCAAACATATAAAATTGATGAATTAAGAAAAGACAATTTGTCAATAATGAACATTGTAATGTCCAAGCTCACCCAAATATAACAGCATTCCAAAGCATAATATTGTTGTCTTGAGGGGCACCGCTGATACCTGCAGGAGGGTCCTGTTGCAACCTCTTGAAATCCCTCATAAGTCTCTTCCTAGATGGAGTCGACATCCTACTTATCCACATATCAGAACAGTTAACCGCATTAATAAGCAGCAAAAACAATCAAAAGTATTTAATTTAAAAACAGCAACCGAGAAAAACAGCAAAAAAAATATTCTAACTTTTCATCAGCAATCTAAATGATGAGCTCAACTTACAATCAAGCAGCTCAGATACCCACAACAAAATAATTGACAATCACAGAAAAACCAAATCTAGACTGCATTTTCTCAAAAGAAAAGGAAAGAATAATTTGTTTTGAAAACAAAAATTAGGGTTACCCATTTCCAGAATTTGGACAGCCATAACAATCTAAATAAAACACAATCAAATAACAGTATAATTCAGTTGAAATTAGCAATAGATGACTTTTTTATTATACCCAGAATGGCCAGTATATTTATCGTCAACTAGATAAACACAACAAGAATACACCAAAAATTAAAGGTTCGTTGCTGTAATAATCATGATTCCGGGAAACTTTTTCCGCAATCAAGATCTACTTTGATACGCACATTTACGTAGGTTTACATGAATATTTACGTTACCAGAGAGGAGGCTGAAAGAGAATGCCTTTAGGTTGAGGGTGTGGAGCTCGTAATCAAAGGAATTTTTATATATTTGTTGGAATTTTATGTATGTATAATGTATGTATAGATTGGGTTGGCGTCTATCACTTCATCAGCAGTCCCCACCGTCTTTTTGGCAATCCACTTGCATACAGTTATTATTGGAAGGAAAAGTTACCAATACCATCCCCAACTATCCCCTTATTGCAATTTTATCCCTAACTTTTATTTTGCTACAAAATCAAACCACAAATTTTGAAGTAAGAAGTCAAAATTTTGTTACAGAGAAAGTTTTTACCATTATTTTAAATAGATAAAAAATTGAGTAAATACTAAAAAGAAAAAGAGCTACTACAATTGAAAGAATGTCAACCAATTGAAAGAAGCTCCATATAAAGTCACGAAGAATATGGGGATGATTCATACTTTGCACAGATATGTTATTTTACTATTATTTGTAAATCAATTAGTATATTGAAGTTGATTTAATTACTCAATTGTTTAACAATTGAACAGAAAGGGGTGAAAATTTGTGAACAAGATTCTTGAATATTTCAAGTTTTTATTAGTTTTAAAATTTCTATACTTTTTATTCATCCTTAAGAAGTTTCACTTTTTTCTTTCATTCCTTGATTTCCTTGTTTTCATGTTCTCACTGGCTTGACGTGTGGCCGTTGATTGTCATTCATCATAGATGTATGAGTTGGCTTAGCGGCACCATTGTGAACATATGATAAGCATGTATTATCTAGAATTAGGATTATCGAAGACGGTAATGCGACTATCATGATCATTCACGATACTCTACTAGCTAACTATATTTTGAATGGACTCTCTATTGTTTTGAAGTTTCTCACCTAATATCTTATAATATAATATTAGCATCAGTTTTCTTTGAATCTTAAAGGTAAGCGTCCGTTCTTGACTTCTGCGTGGATTAACGAGTTGGTGAATGCTTAGAACTTTGATTTCCAATTTTTGCCCCAAATTGGGGCTACTCCACTATTGTGTGAAATACTTGGTTTGAGAGGTCGATAATTATTCATACCACTTTATTTTTTGTCCGGGTAACAATGTGGTATATGAGTTAGCTTTTCATGCTTTTTTTATCTTATTTCAACTTTCGTTTTATTGATAGATCTTGTTCTTTTATTTTATTTCGTCTTTAATTTAAAAGAACATTGAATATCTGAGATTGAAATTCCAAAAAATAAAAATAAAAGAAAAAGAAAATTCACACAAGCACAAACTGAAAGTTGAGGAAAGAATGATGAAACAGTAAACCATTCATGGGCCCAAAAATATGTTTGGCTCGATTCACATTACTACCAGCTTACCAATTACCACCTCATCCTTTGGACTTCTCCTGCTGCCGCCGACGCAGAGGCACCACCGCCACGATTGCCAATGACTTTGCTGGAAGTGATCACCAAAGCTTCATCCACTTCAACGGAGACCCTATTATCCTCAAACTAAAGCCTGAAACCAATGAACTGAAAGAGGAATACCTTGTTAAACGGGTTAGGGATGGGAAATATTGCAAACGGATGCAGAAATAATCGAAGCAGGGCAAATTTTTTTTATGAAGTTGAAAAGAAAGCTGAAGAACTCAAACGCATTTAGAAAAGACGAATTCTTGGTAATGTTTATTACTTACT